GCTTGTTTTAATATTCAGCAATGTGTACACTAAATATGTCCATATCTCAATAAAGTGTACGTTCAGTTTTAAGGTATTGTAGACTGAGTGAAGAATGGCATGACATCTCTTTTATAGCTTTGCCCCTAGAAGACATCTAGTCTGAAACTACGGAAATACCTTTGAGATAAGGTTATAAACTAATACAACTGGTAAAATGGAAACATGCTGACGATCACAAGGCTTTTGAAGCACGGGGAAAGTGACGAAGCAGTGTTTAAAATCAGCTGTCAATAGATAACGTTGAGTGATTCCCGCGCTTTGGCCAGATGGCCCCTAGAAATAGAGGCAGGTGTCACAAATAGAAAGTGGTCCAAATACTGGCAGCGTGTGAGTGGCGTAAACAGGCTCAGATAAATGTCGGCCATGACCGAGCAAGGCGCTGGGGAAACTCACAATTCCTCTTGTAACTTTTGTCCGGAAATTATAGTGGCTATAGATTTGTATCTGTGTGTGCTTCAGTGTTCGCTAAATCATATGTCTTTGCAGTAGTACAAGAGAGAAGCTAAATTTATCTTGAGCTGTTACAGTAAAAAATCGCGTATTTTTTTTATGTGGATTTTACCTTTTTAGGAGTTAGTGACTACTAAATGTCTTCCACCCTTCTTAGTAGTGGTTACAAAGTCAAGTTCAAATAAGTATGTCGTTTATAGCAAATCAAAGGTATACATATAATAGTTACCAAAAGAGGTAATATAGCATTTGATTAAATGAATAGGCTATCACCGTAGGTAAGATTAAGACTTGGGACCAAATAAATGTTTCACTTTTGTCCTCAGAGGCCAAAACATAATGTGTTATACTGTGTGTGTGTATGTGTCCGTGATTACTATAACAGGATTAATTTTGGTTCGATTTTGATAAAATGTTGTGCAAGCGTTCAGGGCTGAAAATTTTCTAATTAGGCTAGTTTGTGAAGAATCTATCAGGTAAAAACAAATTACTGTGTATAAACAAAGTTTATACACAAGTGTAAAAACAAAGCTTTTAATCGACAGATTCAAAGTACAGTTTTAACTGTATTTACAAATACAGATTTAATTACTTTAAGTCCAAACTTAAAACTTATATATCGTTGAACTCATAAGTCAACAGGTAAATGGTGAAAACTTAAATAGTGGATGTAAGCCACAAACCAAAACCACAGGTTCACACTGACCTAGCTCTAGCTACAATAACAGACACAAGTAAAGCCTGTCTTGCATTACATCTGGGAATATAATTATTGATGGCAAGGGTGTACATCGTCATTATAATCTGTATAATAGTCACTTGACACTTGATTGATTGAGTAGTAAGTAACAACGCCAACGATCTATAATATGGTTTTCGGTTTATTGAAATACTTGAAGAACTGTGTGCAATAATAACATTAGGACATCATTAAAATAACAATACGCAAACAATATGATCTTCAGTCTAAATAACGAATTCTAATGAAACTCAATTTATAAAAAACCCTATTTAGCCTAAATAAAAGGGACCAAAAGTCTTATGTGTGGAGTATAGTTCAATCTGAATGTAAACAAATTGGTATTCTAAAAGTAATATAAACATATAGTGTTTAAAGCTGAGTTTTCCTAGGCGTGGAAGCGGAGAGCGGAGAGAGGAACGCGGAGAGCGGAAAAGAGATTAACATGGTGTTCCGCTCCGCTTCTAGGAAAACAGTAGCATTAAATTACCTAAGGCAAGTGGAGTCCGCACTCCGCGTTCCTCTCTCCGCTCTCCACTTCCACGTCTAGGAAACCCCGGCTTTATGTATGAATAAATATAATTAAGAAAAATTAAACTTTATATTTAATATGGCTAAGAGTAAATTGGATTAATTAAGTGGTAAATACACAGTTTATTCCAATTTCATCAAATCTCATGCTCAAATTAGGTACATTTACTCAAGTTATTTTATAATAATATTTGTTCATTGTATGCATTATTATTATTTACTAAAATATTAAACATATTAACCTTAGTTAATAGTGCTTTGTATACTTAGCCTATACTCAAGAAATATTTAATTGCTATGGGGATATAATAGAAAACCTTTTGCCAAAACTATATAAATTTACACTTTTTACTTAAAACATTTAAATACGGTAAGTATACATAAAACATGTTACAGTGGCGATCGATCTTTTCCACTTACACAGTTCACCTTTAGGTCAAACCACAAAGTCTACTGTTTTACATTGATATATCTTCTGATTGGGAAAAGAAGAAGAACAACAAAGGAGCGCACTCAAAGAGGAAGGAAGTCTGTTTTACATACGACATTGAACCCATCTATCACCCCGTAATAAGAGTGGCGTTGAACAAATAGTTGTCAAGAATCCTGGTATTCGTCCAGAAAATAACAATAAATAAATACTGTCTTGGAACATGTTTAAGTTGCGTTTTACACCTGCAATTTATACAGGGTGAGTTTCTACTGACCGTGTTAACTTCGCCAGTGGGTTCTACTCACTAAAAGGAACAAAAAAGTTCCTATAAACCCATGTCCAATTTTCGACCGTTTGGCTGTTTTGGGGGATTTTGTGTTTTTCTTATTTTATTAGACTTTGCTCCACAATTTATGTAATAAAAACTTAACCAATTACTTTAGAGAGTTATAGTTAAAATCATTGGAAAGAACATTAAATTTGCTATAAATCAAAGGTTTCATTCAACAATTATACCATTACATAGTCCACGTTATATCCAAAATAAAGTAAAAATGTCATTAAATTAATTAATTACGATAACTTTCATGAGCCTCCTTTGATACATAAACCTGCATTTATGCAATGTTGAAATGCATAAAAAACTTGGCATTTTAATAATCTTTCAAATGATATGCTATTCAATACTATTATTGATATAAACCAGTGAGAAATTACTAATAAACTACAATAAAACTCGGTCTACAGATTTTGTTTTGACACAGTTTTTACTGTTAATAATAATTACTGTATTCATCATGTTGGCATAATCTTGATTGGTAAAAGGCTCCATATTTTAATAAATGTTGAAAAACTCTTAATTGACTTGGAAATATAAAGTTAAAACAGCAAATTACTCAACAAGGTATGTTCAAGCAGCTGAGTTATCTAGCTATAGATGACAAATCAATAAAAGCTGACTTAATCAAGCACAAGGTAAAACTAATTACACAGCATTTAAGAATCAAACACACTACATCTTTGAAAATGTGAAAAACCTTGAGTTTATACATTTTATTAATTCAGATAATTTTAATAAATATTTAAAAGTTAAAATAATGTACAAATTTTATCAGATAGTTCAATAAAATACATCATGGAGTATACAGTAATTATTATTAACAGTAAAACTGTGCAAAAACAAAATCTGTAAACCGTGTTTTATTGTAGTTTATTAGTAATTTCTCACTGGTTTATATCAATAATAGTATTGAATAGCATATCATTTGAAAGATTATTAAAATGCCAAGTTATTTATGCATTTCAACATTGCATAAATGCAGGTTTATGTATCAAAGGAGGCCCATGAAAATTATCGTAATTAATTAATTTAATGACATTTTTACTTTATTTTGGATATAACGTGGACTATGTAATGGTATAATTGTTGAATGAAACCTTTGATTTATAGCAAATTTAATGTTCTTTCCAATGATTTTAACTATAACTCTCTAAAGTAATTGGTTAAGTTTTTATTACATAAATTGTGGAGCAAAGTCTAATAAAATAAGAAAAACACAAAATCCCCCAAAACAGCCAAACGGTCGAAAATCGGACATGGGTTTATAGGAACTTTTTTGTTCCTTTTAGTGAGTAGAACCCACTGGTGAAGTTAACACGGTCAGTAGAAACTCACCCTGTATATCGCATTGAAAGTCTTTGCTATTTGTTTAGTTAATTTATGTCTCAAAACTACATAACAACCGTAAAAATGTAAATGAGAGTTGTTCTATTAATTAATTGTACTGTACACATATTTAAATATAAATAATGTATTGTATCAATCATGGTTTATATTCACTGTAATTAATGGTGCTTTTAGCCATGTTCATGACACAATCGGATAAGTTAGTTAAAATTTGTCATAGTGTGTAAATTAAGTCTGGCACACATTTTTTATCTTTTTTTCTATAGTAGGTAGAAGAGATCAATTTGCGGGACTGATTAATAACAAATGTTAGGAACTTTTTACAAATTTTGAAAATAAAAATTCCCTTAAGGGCAAGGGAGAGGTGGGGGTAAGTAAAAATTTTCAAATGACAACCCCCATCTTGTGACCCCTCATTTTAAATATCATTGGAAAACAAATCCATAGATGTGTCTGAAAAAACTTTTTTTGCACCCTATCCAAGATGGCGGTTTAAAATGTACTCAGGGTTGAACGGGTAAATTAGGTATGGCACAGATTTCTTATCTTTTTTACTCTTTGTAGAAAGAAGGAATTAATTTGCGGGATTGAGTAAGAACAAATGTTTGGCACTTTTCTTTTTGTCTTCCAATGACCTTTAAAATGAGGGGTCACAAGATGGGGGTTGTAATTTGAAAATTTTTAGTTACCCCCCACGCCCCCTTGCCCTTAAGGGAATTTTTATTTTCAAAATTTGTAAAAAGTGTTTAACATTTGTTATTAATCAGTCCCGCAAATTGATTTCTTCTATCTACTATAGAGAAAAAAAATGTGTGCCAGACTTAATTTACACACTGTATACAGGATACCATATATTTATAAGAAGAAGTATTAATTTGTAGACAGCAAACCTTGAGAACTAGTAGTTTTGTATTTGAGATGCTAAGAAGAATAAGATTTAAAACTTTTTTTACAAAAAAATCTAAATTTTCATTCAGCCATAAAATAAATTGGAAAGATTCAGTTAACGCAGAATCTAGACGCTTTTTGACTTCAAACGCATAACTTTAAACCCAGCGGATATTTGCATATAGAGGAAACACTCATTGATTGAGATTTGATTGATGACAGTGACTTACCATCTTTGCGGTAGTAAAGGATTTCGAAGTGTTTCTCCTGTCCGGCGGCGAGGGCCTCCTTGACGACGGTGACGGCGTGTTGGCTTGTGAGAGGGCCATGGAGGAAGTCGCAGGAGGCCGGTCGCTGCATCACCTCAGCCCTGGAGAACCCTGAGAGGCGACAGAACCCGTCCGAGCAGTAGATGATGTGACAGGAGTTGCCCTGAGCATTGGCCACCAGGAAACTTCGATCTGAAACCCAGAGAAGAGAATTAGAGGAAGTTCTTTGGGTGGGTAGGTAACGTAGCTGCTTAGGAGTACTGGTCACCTACGGTCTGCAGCATACTTTAGTATATCCAGAGGTATGCTGGGTAGTCGTATGTAGAATCAGCTATTGCAAGCCTATGATCTTGAACAAGGAGATGGAAGACGTAGTACAAAAGAAGGAAAAGAGAAAATGAAACATGTCGAGTTATTTTGTACTATTTGCAAAAATATACAGGGTGACAATTAAGTCTTAGGACGACTTTATAACCATAAAATGGAAAGATATATCACAACCTAATTGAATATATCATTACTGGTAATAGTAAGCTACTTTTTTATGTACATGGTGATCGGAAGTCACCTATAGGGCACGACCCGTAGTGAGTAAGTTTAAAATCTGTATGGTAAGCATATGAACTTCAATCAAAGAATTGATATAACAATTATTTTAGGGACTATGAGTAATAACGTTGTCGATTAATCAATTCTCAAATGCTTAGTTTTGGTAGCTTTACAATTTAAAACCAACATTTTGAACCAATAGTTTACATGGGTGCAAGTGTTTGAGTGTATCTATATTATTCTTTACAATCTTTACAAGGCTATGGTTTCAATCATCCACTTATTATTTCAACTTAAGAACCGAAGTCTTTATAGTATTTTTACTCACATACAAAATTTACGTGTTTAAAAGTACGGTAAACAATAGATATAGTATTAGATATAGTTAAGAACATTAATGCTAAAGCTGAAGGTACAGTTGAAAAGGACAACTTTAAAACAGTTTTCAATCTTAGGAATGACAATGTAATGATTCCAACCGTAACAATAACTCACGAATTTGCGCTGAAACTATTGTTTTCATTTATTTTTTCAATGTAGCTAAACACAGTTTTTTAGACCCACATTGAGTAAATATCCAAATATGAGTAGTTATTTGAGATCGGAGCAGAAAATATTCATACAGTATCTATTTACTTGTTTTGTAAAATATACTCATACAATTCAAGACATTAAATTAACCACACACCACGGTTTCTCGCAATCGCACCATTAAACAGTTACGTTTACATCGTATGTTCTCGCAGTGTGCGTTAAGCTACGCGTTGAAGGATGCGGAGGAATTCCCGCGGGAGGAGATGGCTCACTCCCCGTTGACATTCTAATTCCCTCTTCCCCCTCTTCCCCAAGGCTCTGTCATCCGCATTAACCCAGATCCTCGCAGGAATCACTTGGCTTCGAGATAATCACTTATATATCCATTACTTTATGTCTTAAGCTGATAAAGTAACGTCCATGCTGATACGTTAATTATAGCTTAATGTGTACAATGTATAATATTAAGGTTTAGAGAAATGTGTGGGACAAGCATGTAGAGTTACTAAAGTAATCTAAATGGTTATTGTCATTTTGATAAGTTAGTATGTGATTAAACTATTAATAATTTGAATATGTTAGGTCTTACGAAATAGAAAATTGTTAAAATATTTAAGTAGTCGATTCTTGTGAATATGTTTTTTGAATAGATTTCTTTTTAATATACAAGATACATGGAGTAACATGGATACACATGGAGTACATGGTACAAGGATAAATGCAGTTAAGTCAATGTAAAAAGTATATGCACCTACAAAATATTACCGGTTATATTCTGAGGGGGTTGAAAATTTGATTATGATTAAAAAACTAAACTCATTTGTATTGATTGTACTTTGACTACGGCCAACATATTCGATACCTTGGTACTTGGCATTTAATTTGTGAGTGAAAATCAAATTGGTAAATATAATATTTCATTTGGCCCAATGACTTAGTTTAAAATTTGGCATTCGTACCTACAATTAATTAGTAATGAAAGAGTTGTATGGCCACAAGCCAAGTAGCAAATTCACCGGCAAATTAAATATGAAAGAGCATCACTGAGCGAGGCTGAGGTGTGAAATTTCCTAAAGAGCTTCTAAAGTATTTACTAATGTTTAAAGACCTACATCTGCTATTGTTGCAGATTTATTCGAGCGTTATCCAAGCAGTTAGACTTATTTGATTACAGCGTTTTATTTAACACTGACTAATTTTCTATTATTTGGTCTTAGAAACAAATTATAATTATCTGGATGAGAAATTAAACTGACGATAGTGTTCAGATCAAGAAGAAGAAAATACCAAATTCATCCCTCAAGAGAGAAATTATTAAATTGATGATAGCAGTGCAAGCGTCGTTAACAAATTGTTGGATTATGATTAATTTTAACCTTGGATTTGTTTGAAACGAGTTTAAAACAAGAGTTTTGACATTTCCATCAAAACATTTATCCACTTATTAAAAAATGTACACCTCTGTGGATTAAAAATGTTGATGAAGAAAATATGTATCTAACTTTGTAAACACCCAACTATGATCGGTAAACTTTCCCCCCTACAACAGGATGTTTCTTTTATATCAAACTGAAATTATTAGATTACCACTAATCTAATCATAATCTAATCTAATTAAATTATTACCAATACCACGTGACACCTTTAACAATAAAACCAGCTTATATGGTACAAGCTATGGTATAAGGTGCAAAAATAGGATCGCCATTTCCTTTCGCAGGGCTTAGTAAAACTAAATAATGCCTTTTCAGTTATGGCCCTGAAGCTTTACAACAAGCTCACTGTTCAAATCAAACTTATGGAAGGCAACAAGTTTTCCCCAAACCTTAAGGACCATATCAAATAAAAGCCCTACTAAAAATTAAGATACGATTTCGGCATCCCAAGACCATCATTCACGCCGGCAGTGGGAAACTTATAACTTAACTCAATCCCGAAAGTCTTTAATTATTGTAAATATGTATATATTATTATTTTGACGCTGCTTATCCTTACATTTGGTCTCAAGAAAAGTAGGAGGTAATGAGGTATCTTGGTATCCCTGCGTGTTAAGACGTTTATAGAGCTAAAGACCACACCTGTCTTTATATTTTGCCACTATTTTATACGTGGAAATTAATCTATGGTATCTCCAGGTGTTTTTTATTTAGAATTTTTATTTTAATGGTGATTTGTCATTGAAAACCCCCATGAGATAACGGAAAATGAGATTTTCACTAAAACTCCTCTAATGATTTAGATTAAAGTTTACTATGTTATGGACCTCATAATAACTCTAAACAAAATGCCACAACCTCAAATGCTGTAAAAATTGCGGTTCAAAAGTTATTGCTTTCGCATTATATTGTTTTTGATAAGCTAATGAAAGGAATTGTGTGCCAGGTTGTTGATATTGTTTATTTGAATTTATAAATGCTTGATGGAGTTTGAATTTAACAGTTATACAACCATATAGGGTGAATCTGAATTATGATCCTTTGGTGGAAAATGCAACGAATTCAATCTTTGCTTAACTTATCCGCCACTATACTATTGTATTCATAAAGACAAATATTAGAGTTTTTACTGTCAATGTGACGATTATTCTGCAATGTTTGAACACTAATAACACTACAGGTATGTTATTAATATCAAGATAACAGGTTAAACCCTGGTCTTGTGACCTACGTCGACTTATTTTTATGAAACGTCATAATCAATAGGACATTACCAAGTAATAAATTCCAAAAGGATCCCAAAAGATTCGAAGGCGAGACGTATCTACACTCTGCTAATCAATTAGATAATATGATCATTAGTCTAACATATTTACAGCATCTTAACTGTCCACAACTCATTTTGAAGGGGCATTTGGCATCTTTTCAAAAATATTATTTACCTCTTTTTGGGAGTGTCCTTTAAACACACCTTGCTGTTTCGCGCTAAAGGTTAAATACACATTTACACAAAAGATTATGCATTTTTAAAAGCTAATTATTTATGATAACGAGTTGTCTGGTGTACTAATAATTTCCCTGGGCTCGTAGGTTTCTGATCTATGTTGACTTGAGTCCAGTGTACTGAAGTAATGAAGGACATCTCGTTGACGATCTAAATGCAAACATGTACTCGGGTCCTCTCATTTCTACACCCCCCCCCACAAACATGTACTCGGGTCCTCTCATTTCTACACCCCCCCCCCCCCACAAACATGTACTCGGGTCCTCTCATTTCTACACCCCCCCCCCCCTCACACACACACATTGACCCATCCCAACTCTGACTCCTACACTCTATACTCTAGCTGAACCTCACTCTTAATTAATTCTATAAACATTCTACCTTGTTACTTTTAACATATGTTAGACCAAAATATGTATGGTTTAAAATTTAAAAAAATATATATCGTTTGTTTTGGTATTAATGACTAAGTATGCGTAGCCTAAACCCTAAATTAATTGTTAATAAATGTTCGAGCTATAAGATATGGTCTAATACTTAACTACATTTTGTAACAATGAAACAAAAATATGTATGAAATCGTTTGAAAATTTAATTAAACTAATCAAGGAATTTTTAAATCTTATAACAATTTTGTACATCTCTAATGTAAACGGTGTTAGAATGAAGAACTGTAAATCCCTTAAATTCTTAAAAGATAATAGAGATGTGAATCACACACTTGCATCAAAGATGGCAAAAAGAAGGCTTTTCCCAATTAGATGTTTGTACTAAATCTTTAATTCACACAATACACTTACTGCACATAAAGTAACTAAATCAAATTTGACATTTTGATTTCGTTTAAAATCACCATGAACGGGCAGATATACAGTTTACTTGGTCTCATTTTAAAAAGTGCAGTGTATTTTAAACAGTTCCTTATGAGTTAGATACGTATAACCTATGTTTAGGGTTCAAAATCATAAACTCTCAGACATTGTTATGTACAACCAAAACAATACGACCAAGCACCATCTCATAATGCTGTTTACACGTTTAAAACCTCTCAATTCTTCAAACAGTAATTATATTAAGGCACAAGCAATAAAAGTGGAATTAATTTGAACGAATTGTGAACGCTTGTTGTATACAACTAGAAAATATTATTTCCAGCATTCAAAATTAAG